CTCATCCGTAGCATATGTACTTCTTCTGCTCTACTAAGGCTTATCACGCAGAAGTGGAAAATCAGGATACATGTCTTTCAAGATCGGGTTCGCTTTCCGCTGCCACCAATGCAGCGTCCTGAGACTCCCTGAAGACGAAAGAAGACACAATACTCGGGCAGAACATATATTCAACGCAGAGAAGGTGTCTGGGCTATTGGCACGGCCCAAAAGGCCAGCCCACCCAGCGAGGTACAAGGGGGCTAATTCGAAGTACAAAAGTGGCGCCTCACCAGAACCGAGGGATAAACCACTATCGTATTACACCTGATCCTAGAAAAATTTGCCTGTGCCGCGACTCTAAAGCTAACTGTTGCTGACTTAATGTCCCGTTGCAGTGAAATCTTAGTCCAAGTCTGTGACCTAGAACCCCTCCACTGTGTATTTTGTGTACATGATCCGAAACTGTTTCTGGTTTTACTTGCATTTCGTTCTTTACTAATCAGAAATAAAGCATTGTTTTAGCAATTGTACTAATCAGCCACCATCTTTTCGGGTTGAAACGAAGGCTCGAATGAAAGAATTCCTTGAATCGGATCAGTAAAGCATTTCAACAGTGCATTTCATAATTTTAAATACAACATATTTGCAGTTTAGTATCATCATACATCCCCCTATTAAAAGTTTAGTCTCAGGGATAGTGTTTTGCTGGCATTTGGATCTTGAGCTTAATACGTTTCTCGTAACGAACATTCGAATAACGTATGTTTGCATGTTTATTGCAATTTCCTAAAGTGTACCCAAAATATTGCAAATACTGTGTAGTATTTACTTAAACACAAATTAATTTGGACTTGATAGGGCTATTTCGGTCGTGATTTCCAAGACATTCACAGTGCGCAAAGGTGTTTGTCGGACCTCAGGATGGCAGTTGGTACTCTCGTTATGGAAATACAGTGTTGCCTGAACAGGTACTTGATGCAGGCTTTGATGCCCAATGCATCGGCGGTGATGCTTTGTCATTTAAAATACCAGCTTGGAATGTATTCGTTCAATCTGAGGCATAATAATACATCGCTATGAAATGCACTTTTATTATTTGGTTTTTGTAATTGGATCAAATCCAGAAAATTTACCTGTTTGCATAAAAGGGTCTATGCCTTTCACAGACCATAGTAAAATGCGATCTCAATTTGATTCTTCAGTTTTCTAAAAGTCAAATACGAAGACGCATTGCGAAAGAATTACAAAATGCTAGCGGAATACGTATTCTTTTAAATCACCTATGGTGTGATTACGACTGTGACAAATAAGTTGGGAAGCCATTGCTGTCGGATATATTAGTGTAGGTCTTACTCTATGTTGCTCGAATAGCAGTTAATGAAATGGGGTGAGCATAGTATCAACAGCAGATCCGATGTAGCAAGGGTGGTGATGGGACAGCACTTGGTTGCCAAAATCCGGTCATTTGGCGCGTCCTTGCGCGTGCGTGTGATAGTGCGGGCGTGGTCCACGCACACTAGTCGCTGGGGTGGCACTAACCATCAGCTAATTCGACTCGTCTGCGAATTTGAGGTCACATCGGAAATTGCTTGATCATTTAAAGTGTATGCTAGTAAACAACTGTAACGCTTTGAGCCTGAAGCTTGCCCCCCGACAGAATAAAATGTATGATTACTAAAGTGCGTCCTCCGTCTTCATTTAGGCAACTGTACTACAACATTCGATACCACACGAGCGGCTGCGAAGTTGCCTATCTATTATTAGATGCTCTTCACATCTGAAGTGGCAACTATCAGATCTATCGGAAACGAATTGAATAAAATATTGTAATACTTTATCCAGAGCATTGGGATTAGCATCAACGGCTTCAACTTCTTCAACTGTGAGGCCTGTCAATTAGTTATATTTCTCGTTTGGATCGCAAACTTTCTACAGTTGAAACAAGCTGACTCATTTTGCTTTGCCACTTTTATTGGTACGGCGTGAAAGGTTCGCTTTCATTGACTATTCATATAAATAAATTTGAGTTCCAACTCCTCACCCACAGTAGTATAACTAACAAGACTATTTGAGTCATATATTAGCCAATTACGTAGTAATCAGAAAAAAGTGGCATGAAAAACGTTTTGAGTTTCCTCAGACTTAGTTTGCCCAGTAACGACACAATACACCTCATGGCTAGTGAGGTGATTGAGAGACAATGAAGACCATTTTCATATAATCACGCCTGCTTATGATGCGCCAAAATCCGTAATTTACCTGTAATTTAGCTGTCTTCTTTCGGAATAAGATCATCTGAGCCTAGCGAAGGTTAAGGCACCATGTTAGGCTGCGATTTTGGCTCGCTATTTTAGTCAGCTGTGGAAGTACTGACTTCGCAAGACATCTTGCCTCACTCGTCAGCATCACGAATCCGACCACTCACTGAATTCAACGCGTTGGTGTTAACCACCTCCCTCTTTATTGTAATACTTTATGGTACCAGATAGAAATAGCTCGCATTCGCGTATTTATCTGGTTGGAAAGTGCATTCCTCCAAGAAGGATGAGGTGAGTAAAGGCACGCAATCGGGTTGCTTGCCTTCTCGAGAACGATGGATCTGCCTAGCTGGAATACAGTTTAAACCATTGGATAGTATTCGCCGTAGTGCAGAATAGTGATATTCCGGTGCTGTTATTACAGGTAATTAGAGGTTGGAATTTCTCAAAAAATAGTCCAACATCAAAAAATACTTATGTGTATCAGTAGGGGCCTACTGTAATGCATGAAGATCTTTACAATTTACCTAAAATCCTTTGCACAATATCCCCTCTTGAGAGGTTAGGCACCGCTACTACTTTCACAACACCTAATTGCTAAGTTAGGTGTCTAAAAATAGGAGTACTTTACTGAAAGACCATAATCGCCAAAACTAAGATTATTCCGTGCGAACACGTGACTTGGGGTGAAAAAACTTATTCTCCTAATACAAGCTTTCGGACTTACCCACACTTTATTCTTAAAAGCGGGAAGTGATGAACCGAGGAATATTAAAAGCCATTTTTATTACTTAATCAGTCAAGCATCTTGAAAATGACGACACAGACCCTAATGCAGTTCAGCCATTTGATGCGATCACAAGTCCTTCTCAGTTGGTGCCCTCCAGCACAGCGCTCCCCCACCGTTGAGTTTGGCTTCCTGTTGAACGAATTGGAATCTACGAGCCAAATTCCTTAGCTAAATACTTGAGCGTCGAAAGTTCATGCGAAAATAAATTCGTGTGCGCCGCAGTTTACGGCTAGGGTTAATGCAAGATCTAATTTGACAAAAGGTAGTCATTTTTGAATAAAAACTTCATGGTAGTGTAATTTTAGAGCGTTTTCGAGCAGATTTAATTAAACAAAATACCACAGCATAGCTCAATATCACAACATCTTCTGTGATGAAGCATTTCGGTCTGTTGTAAAATGTTTGCAGTTTCAACAAAGAGCACGCAGATTCAGCGATACACAATCCGAAGCTTTCGGTTCTTAAAACTTCATTGAAATAGCCATATCACAGAAACACATGTGATTTTGTTTTAGTAAGATAAAGTGGTAGATAGATAAGTGGGACCGTTTATAAAAAGGGTTGACAACAAGATCCGTTGAATAAGCGGGAATGTTTGTGTTCCAATCGTAAAACGGGAGTGCAGGAAGAATGAATAGGGAAGAGAGTTGGTGGAGGATGGGAGGATAAGTAATCAAAACAAATACAGATACGTCACATATTGGAGACCTTTTTTTGACGAATTGTCAAGCCAGTAAAAGTATTTCGTTGGTAAAACAAAGTAGGAAAATATTTGGTCTTTGCTGTCCTTTATCGAGTAGCCCTCCATGTGTCGAATAACATTTCACAAGCGGAATGAAAGTGGTTGACAAAAATGAAGCAAAAATTTACACACAAAAGAATGTGCAAAAGTGGTAACACATATCCAGTAAAATCAAAATGAGGTCAGACAACAGAAGTGAAAAACAAATTTATGTCGGTAGCTGTGACAGCACTGGCTAAGCACGTTCCGTGATGAGCTTGAGACTTCGACGGAGCGGTTTGTGATTTGTTTGGTTCGCACTGTGCCATTTCTGCCAGCAGGTGGGACAAAAGTATTGGAAGCAATCCAGTGAGCGACAGAAATAAACACCAGGTAAAAGGTGGCAGGTGTCACAAAGTGAGTCCTCCAAAAAGGGATCGATTTGAATGGTCTTCGTGAATTTCGGTGTGCGAACCTCCACGAAATTCGCTGTCACAGCACGCATATAACTGGCATGATTACGAAAGACGACACGGCCAGAACCTTGAGTGTAAAAACAATCGTAGTAACCAAGTTGTTGAGGCGGACTAATGCTTGATACATGTGGCCGACCAATACTTGATCATTGACCATTACGTAGGCTCTTACCGATCTAATGCTCAATTTAGTAAAAACAGTGCTTATTACCTAGGTCTTCTAATTTATCTATAGTTTCAGACAGCTTTAGCGCTATGAGCTGTAAAACCCAAATTTAATTATGAATATTTAATTTGATATTGCATATTTTCCTTGTTGTTCACTCTAATTCAAATCCATGAGAATTCATGCTGGATTTAAAATCAGACCGGCGCAAAAGTGGAAGGTCCGTAAACGCATAAAATAATAATCTGTCAAATTGATTTACACACACTCCCATTAGCGAATGTCATGCATTTTCAGCCATTCAAATGGACGAAAGTTAGACTATAAACTGTAAGGCACAAAATATTTCAGTTGGGTATAATATAAGGCACTCTATTTTGAAAAAAAGGTAGTTTTTAAATACCTAGCATTTAAAGGGCTGAGTTAAAATGGACTCATTCTTGCTGTCGAAGTCCTATTTGTCTTTCAGTATTAATTTCCCATTGATTTGAATTAAAATTACTACGGTGATACAATAAATAAATAGGTGATTTCTACGTTAGGAACGCCAATTGACATTTAACTTGTTTGGACTATGGCGGTCTAATTTATGTAAACATATTTTGTTTTATTGACTTAATCGGCTGCCCCATGTTGCCAAACCAGTCTAGGGGGCGCAAAATCACAAGACCGTTGAGAAAGTGCAGCATCAAACAATTCTACACTCGAATTTGAATACATTAGTTAATAGCAAGGAAATTGGACTCACCTATGGGATACTTGTGTTTGTCAGTATCTAACGCAGCAAAAGTAACATTTCCAAATAATTCATTCATGATGGAAGCGAGCGCTTCAGCGGTGATCATTCCGTGAAGGGCACCAACAAATACGGTGTAACTGATTTGCAAACTGGACTGACCGCCCCCACAGCTGAATTGGCTGTCGCTTATCACCCAAGGGATGACCTTTAGTCATAATAAAATAAGATTTTGCAACAGACAAGGCTGGTGAGTAAGAGGGAGCAGATAGGTCTTAATGGAGAAAAAAGGGTCATAACTAGTGCCCATACCTTGCAATGAATACCACTCCTAAGTTTTCATTAAACCTGGCCACTACTTAAAGTTGTGACAATACAATTGCCAGTGAACGCAACTGGAACAATGTAATAAGAGTTTCTAAGAGTATTACGCAATCACCAAAACCCATATTCTACACATATGTTACTTATAAACAAACAAACAATTGAGATAATTAGTCCGTATTGTTCCATAACCTGTTAGGAAATCTATTGAGTCGTCTGAATTATACAGGATTCCGCCTCCTCTTTAGCGCATTCTTGTGCCATGTCACTATTTCACACCTAGCCAGTATTCCCGCATGTCGTAGTAGGTGCTGGTCACAAAACCTGCAGGCTACCACACTCAGACAAGCTCAAGGTGAGTCACTTGCTAGTCAGTAGAGAAAATGTCACTCAGTCTGAGGTGAACAGTTACACAGCATGAGCATTGAGCAAATATCTAAGCAGCCGACCATAAGTCTTAAATGGTTTAAACAATTTTAGCTGTAGAATGTGTCGGACAACTAACACACAGCCTCAGTGAGTATAGTCCTGGTCTTGAAGCTGTTTTAGAAAGTGCATAATTTGACAGTCTGTTGACTCTCACTTAGGGGTTCCTTTGATCTTGTGTTAACGTGTTTGAAACCCTGAGACTATGGTAAAAATGTAGATCATTCAAGCAAGTCCATTTTGACTCACCTGGACACTCTTGGATTTGAACTTGGGAGATGAAAGTTTAAAGTATTCGCCACCATTCGATGCATCCCGCGTGCACTTTGCCAAAAGTTCGGCAACACAGGATTCATGCTCAAACAGTAGGTAGCAGTATCCCTTTGGCGCAACGGACATGGACCGGTCAATTGCCACGTCATTATTATGATGGTGAGAGATGTAGCCGCCATCTTTCTGTGGCCAGAGGACTGACACATTCCCAAATTGGGAGAAAGTGTTGATGAGATCATCACTCGTACTATCCCACGGTACCCCGCCTAGAAAAACCTTCCTGGAGAAGCACATGGAGTTGTAATTTCTCATCGGTAACTTTCCGCTCCAGCGATGAATTGTCTCCAACTTTTGGGAAGCATTATCTGGGACACATAAGTAATCATAGTGATTACAGAAACGGCCAACATGCAGGTTTTTTAATGGTAGCTAATATACTTACTAGCTGAATTTCTGTAAATTGTTGCAGCTCGGTCAATGTCTCCTTCAAGTGTCCCTTGACGATTGCAACATTGTCCGACAGAAAGTGCACCGTCATTCATGTGCATTCGGTAATAGAGAGAAGAAAATGGCGGTTCATTGCCAAAATTCGGGGACTGGCGAATATGGTGCCTGTTGTGTGCCATCGGTGGGTAATGGTACCCATTCGACTGCAAGGCTTTTCCGCTATCAAACCTGGCCGCATATGCTGTAAGCTGAGAGGTCAATATGTCCATTAATTCGCTGTTATTCCTCACAGCCTCTGTTGAGAGCAAGCTCCCAATGGATGATAGGAGGCTAAGGTTGCTAAGTCCATTATTAGGCATATTTAGCTTAGTGGTCAACAATTTGACCAGAATCTGTTGCGCATCGATCTGCCCATTTTCGACACATGTAAGAAGAGCACTTAGAAGAGCTGGATTAATTTTGCCGAGACTGATGAGCAAACTGAACAGTTGATTGGATAAAATGTCATTCGCTGACGTTACTGATGGACCTTGACAAGCTCGTGGATTGGAGCTAAAAGAACCCCAGTCATTTATTGATTGTGGAATTTCGTTGGGTGTTGAAATTTGTCGAGTTGAAGAGCTTGCATTTGTTGAGTTGCTCGCCATCAGATTAAGTATTATATTAATGAGCTGACTTGAGTTCAGATCTGATGAAAAAGGAAGAGAAACTTCGTAGCAATTTCAATTCCAATAAAAAAAGTGAATGATTAAGATTGGATAAAAGTATTCCTAATGGTCAGAAAAACTTATCCACTTATTGTAACAATGCATTTAAAACGTGACGAAATCAGTTATTAGGTCAAAGACTATCCGGCGATCATTCTTCTCCTATTATCAGTGTCTTTAGTCTAACTAGAACCTACGAAATGGAATCAAAAGCCTTTTGAAAGTGCTACTTTCAGGAATTGAATGTCGACCCAGCGGTGAAATATTCCCTTTCAAAATCTAGACACTATGATCCGTTGGCCTCACTGCCCTTAAATAGAATGCAAAACGTGATAGATTAACAGCTTAACTAAAGAGCAAGTGCAATACGATTCATCGCAAAATACAACAAAAATTACAGAACCAATAATATAAAGTGAATTAGACTAATTGATACAAAAACATGTCGGTAGTCAGGTTAAATCAAACGAACTAATGCAAACTGAATATTTACAAATGTATGAAGTAAATGGGGAAGTACAGAAAAAACGATACAATGAAAACTAAAACGCTTAGGCCACTTGGGTACCGCAACTCAAAAATACAGTCCTTATGCCCATTTCGGGCATTTGTAAGCTCATTTGCCGCATCAAATGCTAGGTGTATGCAAATCCTCATTATAAATGCTTGTTTATATTCAACATTAAGATGGAAATTGTACCCGATACTTACCATTGCGCCCTGAGTAGTTTAAAGCAAGCTGGCTGAGTTGTGCCGCCAAGGAAATATCGTCTAGGACCGCTGAGCCAACCGATTGAGGGGGTTCCGGTCCATTAAAGGGCAGCTGTTCTGGCCGTGAGTCTTCGCTAATTTGCTGAGTCGAATTGGATCCCACAGCTGCCCGTTGGGTTGGGTTTCCATCCGTCAAATTATCAATGGTACCTGCTGCTGAGGAAGTTGTAACTGTTGGCATCCCTGTGCCGTTACCCGAAATTTCTAACACACCCGTTTTGGCCTTCTCAATTTCATTAAAATGGGTATAGTTAGCTCCAACACCGCTGCTGTTACTAGCTTCTGGCACTCGGGAGCTACTGGATGCTCGACTAGTGGGTCTACTACTTCCATCCGTCAGTTCATACACGTATTTAGCTGCTGAGACTAAGTTTTGATCCAATACTTGGTCTTGGCCTGTCCTTGAGGAAGTAGTAGGCGCTGGTGGATAAGACACGAAATCGTTTGCAGTTGTACTTGGCTGACCAGTTGCCAAGTTCAGGAAGTTTTGCGAATTTGTGCACGGTGTATTTGAGATAATGCTGAGGGGGTTGGCACAACCAGGGTATGGATCCTCAATTGGTGAATTTTCCCCATTCGAGTCGCCTCGAAAAACTCCTTTCGGTTCCTGAAACTCGGAACTTTGGTGCCCATCGGTATCTATGATGACGGTATGGCCATACTTTTGCAAGAACCGCTCATATGTATTCCGATTGCTATTTCGTAGATGATTTTGTTGCTGACGTCCTTCGAATGGACTGATGGGTAATCGTGGGTTGGACGGAGATCCATCTGTTCCGAAGCTGTTGGATCCAGTGGATGATTCAGAATGGAAAGGGGTTCCCGATGTGTAGAATCCATTGTCTATGGTTAGTGCGTCGGATCCGCAAGACGAAGACAAGTAGTCAAATCGAGACGGTCTTCGAACCAAATGCTGCATCGTGTGATTGCCAGCAAGGCACGCTCCTGTAGGCGTTTCTATGTTGCGTGTAGTTATTGATCCCCGATTGTCAGGTTGATTGCCAGTCTCTGGTAGCCTTGGATTGATATTAACGTCGGAATCGTTCTCCTTTACTAGTAAGTTTTGTGCACCAGTGATGTTAGTGTTGGCAGCGTTGGTTTCAACTAAAGTAAAGGTATGCGCTGTGGTTACGTTTTAATTGCGCGCGCTTTCCGATGTATTAAGCCGCTGATTGGGTAATTTTGATCGGTGCGTATGTGCGCTTATGCGCACGGAGCGCACCCACGAGCGCGTGCAAGTCTCAACCAGCCCATGCTGGCGCTCGTGCACAACGCACAGCGGTGCCAGAGTTGGCTGTGTGGCACCCGCGTATGATTCACTACCTCGATGATGTATATTTAAAGTGCAGACAGCAGAAAGACTGATTCTATTTAGTGGAATTTGCGGTTTCATGATAACTTTACGAGTTCGATTTAAGACCTCACTAAAACTTTGAACAAGCATTATAATATCAGGAAATAGATGTGGACAAAAATCCGGTAGCTGAATGGTCAAATATGTGAGCCACGCTACTGTTCCGCCTGAGCTTTATTTCGGTCGCGGAAGCCGTCACATTGCCACTTTCACACATCCAGGAATGGACTGAATGGGGCACGGCGAAACCACTCACTTGGTAGAGGCGCAAATGACCTATACACGAAAGCAGGAGAGCCACCTGCCGCGAATGACAAATCACGCACTCCAAATAGCTTGCCATATGGAGTTTCAGGGGTTTGCACTTTAGCAAAATGTTAATGTGGAAATTTTCCTAGGCAAATGTAAGGGCTTTATGAAGAGAAAAAAGTCCAAGAACGATAATTATGCACAAACACATACAAGGGCATTGATAGCACTTAAAGTACCTCTTTACAAAGTTATCCTAATGGGAGGATAGCGAAAATGAAATAAGAGACTCACCACAAATTCTAAACGAAATGTTCCCATCAGGAGAAATAGCAGGGTCTTCTAACAGAAATTTCGGAACATCTTCACTCATTAACCACGTATTATTTGAAATCATTTTAAAACTCAACGGCCCAAATTTGATGTGCCGAGCCTGCGAACCAACTGCTACCCTAATTAACGTATAAATGACTACCATGCGAACAATGTTTCGCAGTACAGCAATTTGAACTCTAATCGGTGGTTTAAAAGGCACGAGGCGCGAGCACACATTCGATCGAAAAAATCGATGACCCCCGATTAGAGTTCATGATGAATGCGCGCCTCGGATTGGACGCTATCAGGGGTGTCGTTTATTGGACGAATAGAAAGTCAATACGTCAGTCAACTGCACCCAAGTGCGCGCATAAACGTTGACTCGAATTGCAAAGCTAAAGTTATTTAGGGGGCTGTATGCCGAAAACTAATTTTCTTAATTTATACCTAATTGTGGAAAGTATACATTGAAATGGTTGCCTTTGTAATTTAAAAATTAGACCTTGTGAGTTGAAGCCACGGCTTTGTTCCTTCTTTTTTCAATAGAAAGATTGCTTTTGAGATTCTGAGCCAGGTATTTGATAAATAGTTTTCAAGATAATCGCAGCTGATGGAGAAAGGAGGGAATTTAGATTTTCTGGAACACTTGTTAGGTTACAAAATCATATTCTCGTAATAGTTTGGGTATTTGTGTAAAAAACAGTAATAAAGATTAGTTGTACTAGTCACAAAAATCCCCATCGGCTTGACTTAAACTAAGGAGTATGGATATATCCGGAATTTGAAAGGTCGGAAGCGTTACACCTGAACACCCACAGCGCATGTGCCGCACGTGTCGGTACGATGTGGTTCTAATTTGCCGTATATCATTTCTCCTATACGCATTTTTAGCCCGTTTTTTAGGTCGAGTCATATAGAAAAACGACGACAAAGAAAATTTGTGGTGGGTTTAAGTGGAGATGAAAATGTTAACCTTATAGTAACGTATGAGATCGTTCTCACATACGTGGTCTTGATCAATCAAACTATGAGGTTAATCTTGACAAAAAAAATACAATCGCTCACCTGTACATGTGTGAAACGGAATGATGGGGTAAAAGAACCGCTGCAGTGATGATCGGAAGTATCAGAAAACGGTAGCCTAAAAATACTTCTCATTTATTTCTCTTGCCAACGATAATTCATATTGCTTCATTAATTTCGGTATCCAATGGCAACACATTTAAGTAAACAATAAGTGTGCTGCAATCGAAGTCGACGATGGCAGCTAAATTGCAGTGGTCCTTATCGCGACAACTCCACATCATACAGGTTGGACTTTTGACCGTCTCATCACCTATTTAAACAATCCATGAGTGTCAGGCTAAAAGCAGTTTGGTACTACACTGCACTAACAATTCCCAACCCTATATATCAAACATGAGCCCAAGCAGGTCAGGGGAGTAGATAATAGCTTTAAAACTTTTAAATTATGCCACAATCTCAAGATATAACTAGTGCTGCATTCTGTCGTCTTCTTTATGAATCAAGACCATAGCACGAGGGTACAAAAGCAAAGGCCGAGATCGATTTAATCTTTCTAGACATTTGGTGGTGAAGATAAATTATCTGCCATCTACCTTACCAGGATTTGACGGACTTCGTGAAGCGAATTTCAAGCCAACGAATGCCCCGACTGGAACGTGTGACATCGGTCGTTAACGGCTGACATACTATTTAACTAACATTGACAACATCAAATAAACTTGGCACTACCATGACTCAACGTAAACGATGACCTTCGAATTTAACGCAGACCAGTTTTTTACCATCGCTTATGGTGTTTTAACAAAACCAGTTTCAGTGATAATTCCAAAGGAGCAGTACCAAACAACAACAAAATGTTAATTGAAATTGCATTATTACAATCAGAAAATCAGTGAAACAGAAAATTGGAACACCGAACCACCGACCGGCCCATAACACTCTTAATCGCTATAAAAACTGGCAAATTCTTTGTAGACTTCAGGCTTTTCCTTTTTTGAATTTTTGCGTTAAATTGCACTAAACGTTTGTTCAAAGTGATCGTTGTAACTATGGCATATTTCAAACAATATACAAGAATGACATTGAAATGTATTCTAAATTTTTACTGAAAATTACCAAAATCGAGGAATAAGACCAGTTACTCTCATGCTGGAATGCTTTTGGAGACAAAGAGGTTTACTATGGAGGTTTACCTGGGAACGAAGAGGCTATATTAGCGGTAAGAAGTCCTACAAAATAGGACCTGAGATCAGGACAGTTGAGAATGAGAAGGTGGTGAGTTTCAAGTGATGTTCTTTTTAACCTGTTGGAGTAAAGCAAGCATATACCATTCACTACAATTTGATGTTTATATAATGGCGTTTGCCTGGTGTAACCATCAAGCATCATGAGATATGAATCTGTGGTCTGCGCTTCCAACTAGATCGTGAACTCTGCGATTCATCAGTTGTTTATTGTGAACGCCGCACAAGAAAAATTCTAGATCTTAGAAGAATTTTTAAAATGGAAGTGGGTGTTATCCCACATATAAAAAACAGCAGCATACGGTTCCAAAGGGTTTTGAAACACCAGGAGAAAGCAAAATTTTAGCATTCTATCGAGTACTTTTTCGTCCTTCATAAGGTATATGTTGTGATTAAACTATCGTAAGGGATTAAGATCTGTTTCAATTTCTCCCGATTTTAACGACTTCACGTGGAAGTGGCACAGCATCAGTCTCTTGAATTTTCACGCCTCCCATGATCACTTGTGGCATTTATGAAGAACCTGTCTTAAGGATCTGCCAATGCAGTTCGATCTACTTACCACTCCCTTTACGCGCCGAGATGCAATAGTTGCATGTCTACCTTTACTGAACGTTGCGTAGCAAATTCAAACTGCTGTCTGTTTAATAAAAACGCAAAAGTAATTGATAGTCAAATTATAGAGGTTTACTTAAACCGCTTTATTAGAAGTTTGAAAAATAGGTGATTTCTTACTTTAGCACATCGCAAACTTTGTCACTACTTTTAAATCTGATTGGGCCTATCGTAATTTTTTCCATCGGTTTATATTATTTTGTTGAACTTCTTTTGGCATTAACACCTTTTCGATATTATTTTTAATGAAGTTTATGGAAGTATATCTCTGCCTTCCCGGCGCCTTTCCTCTTTTGTGAAAGGCCGTGACCAAAGTTGATATTATTAGTTGGCTCGGAGCACTACGACACAGTAAAAGGCCTACCCGTGTCGTCGATTAGCCACTCCCACTAGTTGGGCAGATGAGCGGCCCTTCTCTCATGACTTGGGGAGGTGTAGTGAGATTTATGAACCAAGAGGGTTCTCTTTTCATAGTCACCGCCATCAGGATGTGCGCAACAATCACCATTGGGAAGGCTGATTGTAGCCTTCGGAGGCGACATATTAGTATAAAGTGTTAATGAGAATCAATTACCCTAAGGGTAAGAAAAAAAAATAACCAGCTTTTCTCACAACGTTGATTTGAAATGGCATTAAAATTATAAATAGGTATGAATGTGCTTAAGATAGTTTTAACTTGCAAGAAAATACATTTGGCAGAAGCTTTCGCATAATTATGCTTGAGGTGTATCATTATCTACTACGAAAGCTACTTCTAACAACATTGATATAATTTTTAATGGAAAAAATTAAAAGTTCCAGGTGCACCCATTCTTGCTAATTATTCTACAATCATTCAAAGGAATATATAAGAAAATCGCATCACAATAGCCCACAAGGCTGGGCTACTTCTAAAAATGTTGGCATTTATTTGGCCTTGGCTTACTTTTAAAGTGCAGACATTAAATTTGTAGCAGTTGTTGTTTGCAAGGGTGTAAAAGTGCCATTACATATGTATACATTCATGTGTATATTTGCACCTTTAGTTACTAATGCCTCTCAGTGTGCACTATTTCAGTTACACCACTAATCGGAGCTGAATATGCGATACCTCATGGATGTTGAAACGAACTTACTCAAGAGTGCCATCATTAAGGCCAGAATTGTTAGTCTCAGTGGGATGCGTCAGATAGAATAGTTTTATTCAAAAGTTTCAAAATCAAAGTGCGTTAGAACACTACGGTACAACACAGTAGCAGTAGTAGAGGAAGCATGACGAATGCGCAATGGCCCATGGTTATGTGTATAAAGCGACAAATTTGCGAATGTTTTATGAAAATCTTGAGCACTATAGAGACTTTGCCTGATGCTAATTTCATAGACTTAAGTGCGTTTAATTAAAAAGTTAGGGCAGCCTCGTGATTATCCTAGCGTCAATACGCGCAGTGAACGGAATTCTGCTGAAACGAACTTTAATCAAAAGTACATCCGACGGAATGTCTTGACTAAAGATTAAGTCGAATTTAATCTGAGTCCTTTTGAGGAGGCAGAAAACAAGTGTCCAGCAAATGGTTGGAGTTGAAAACCAGAAATCAACGTTACCTAAAGCCGAGCTCTGAGTAAGCCTGATGATCGAGCATCTTCTCACCCGACGCGATAATATGCTCTTTTTAAATTACTCGAACTCAGGGTAGAAAAAATTGGGGACCATTTGATTTCAAATTAAATCATTCGTAACAACAGCTATCCACTTTTCAATTTTGTCAGAGGAAATTCACCATGGGTCTTTTAGCAGAGTGTTTGGAATTTTCCTTTGCTGCCAATCATTGAACTGATTTTATGGTAGTGAAGGTTTGCCTACCATTTCCTCCAGACCACTTCGATTGTCATGGTACTTTGCTGATACCATTAATTTCGGCTTACTAAATCGCCAGACATTCACGGCTTCTCACATCTTGACCTGTAGCCAAAGGCTTCAGCGGTGATAAACTGCTCAGAGTTGCATAGGCTTGGGTGGAAAATGAGAGTAACCTCAAAGTCGCTGCTTGTTTCCGTGCTTGTGGGGGCTGCAGAATCGGCATAAGCTGGTGACTTGTCAAATTCCATGCACCAGGCAAATCGATAACACCAACGCCACCCGTCAGCGCTGGTGGCCTCGTTCAAGGACAAGGAGCGGTGCCTTTACAGCGGCTTGAGGGTTTGTGAATGCCCAAAGAATTACTTGACACATCGAGTTATAGTGATGTGGATTCCGATTAACTCCTTTTTCACACATATCCACCAATTTTTGCACATTAAAACAGTAATTTTAGTGGTTCAAGACTAGAATTTTTATCCAAACATCGCCTATTTTTTCTGTACTTTTAAATAGATTTCAAGTGAAGGACTAAAACTAAACAGACTGGTTTTTTCACCAGAGTGCGCAATCATGGTAAAATAGCAAAGATACTCCCAATGACTTCAATTTACCACCTTCGGCTTCCAAACCAATTCTTCTTAAAAGCACAAAGCCACAGATTCACTTAAAAATGCGAATTTTTTGCAGCTTCACCTATTAAATGTGCATTGGTCTTTTAAAACTGCCCCTGAAGCCGCTCCTGTCATATTGCACTTACGCAGGTATTGCATTTCGAAAATGCAAATTGGAGTACTTTGTCCTCACCCGCTTGGTGTTTTTAACTAGACAATAGCCAGCAATCCGCAAGCACGAAGTTGGTAATATCCTACTGTGAAAAACAGGCTTGCCATTTAGTATCCGATGGGGATCTTCAGAGTGTTCAGCATGGTACACCTGACATTTCTTGCATTACAAATAGCAAAGTAATTAATAAATATGCACTTTCTCTTGAAAATCTGAAAAGCTCAATAATGAGCGTTGCCTGTCATAAGAGCACCATAAATTCTCACCGGAGCACCTCAAATAAGTGCGACTAAGGCTTGCAACGTATGATGCCGGCTCCGCGATTTTAAAAGAGAGCTATTCTGAATTGGTCTAACCGCAAGGTAAATATTTTTGTGTTCTAGCCGGCACGTGTACGCTTCGGAAGCACTACTAATTGTCGTGTAGTTTTTTGATATGTGCGGTAAAAATTGGCTTTGTCTTGATTACTGTTAAATTTACCTGCGTCAAATGTTTAGCTTGCGTAAAATACGGAAAAGCTAGCCAATATGCATATTTTGACTATTCTCAAGCAAATGTGATCACGTGGTGATGCTTTTATTACCTAACAAACTGGTCTATTTCACTTTGACTCTAGCTTATGATCTACATTACATCCATAAATTGCTGCTTACAGCATTACTTGCGATACTTTTTAGCTCTTAACCACTTCTTTATTCTACAAACCCCGTTAAATTAATTATTCTAAAACCTAGTCCGAGACCTAAACATACTCAAGCATGACTATCACTAACTTAGGTCAGGATATTAAAAGACTACAAAACCGTATTGCTAACAGGAGGCAGAGTTCGCTCATCCGGAATGTACATGGAACAGCAGCTCTGTGCCGTCGCCGCCGTCGGCTTGCGCGGAAAGGAATTTATCGATTTCTGCTGCTGGGGATGGGGGTGGGGGGAGCTATGTGAGTGTCGTGGCGCCCACCACACGCCATCATAAGCTGCACGCGAGGCGCATTTTCTACATCAAAGGCAGGTGCCAGCAGATGGATGCTAGAGGCCCATCTCTCTTCGATTTAAACTATCATTTTTGGGGTCATCAGCCCTCCTATTGGCATTGCAAACAACGAAGGCAATTCTGGAATGTTTTAATGTGGTTTTAGCATTTTGAAAACCATGGATTTAATTATTATTCTTTTCAAAGCACACTATGCCACACGTATTTCGCAGCCAAAATAAGATTGTTGGAGCGTTCCCCTAAAGTGGAGGCCGGGAAAGTAGTGACAATGTGTAGATGGTCACATCAAATCAAATGATTGAAATTTGTGCATGGCACCATTCATTAATGACCACCTACTTTGAGCCATTCATTTGACTTCATATTGGCATGCACATGCGACAGGACTGCATAAATTTGACCAAGGCATTAACTGATGTCAGAGGGTACTTTCTGCTGTGGTTCCACCACAGCCATGGCACACCAGGACTTGGAGCGGCCGCGCTCTCTGACAAGTGCCACACGAGCGTCGTACGCGGTGTGCAGAGTGTACCGTGACATGACTAGTTCCGGTTCGTCTCTATACCAATTGAGGGGGGGCCAAAAAAGCCCGATCCGCACACTCGCGCGTTGAATTTCTAAATTCCATTAAATTATTCCCTGCAAACACCAAAGCTTCTTACAAAGAAAGTAAATCACAAACACCACTAAACAGAGCGCTAAATATGGGCATTATCTTCTCGAAGAAGGCAAAAACTGAAATCGTCAATAAATTTAACAAAGCCATGACCACTCTCCCGTTAAAAATCTTACCTACATTACGACCCTGTTGGTTGAATAATAAAATGTTTATAGAGTTCTTGCCAAGATCTTCCACTTTAAAATCCCAGTAGCATATGGAATTTATTGAGAATCAGTATTATAACCTACGAATAGGAAATGGGATCCTAATATTCTTCCAGCGCGTATTATGTACACACTTTTAGTAATGATATCGAAAAGTTGTATAGAAGAGCAATGAAAATGTTCTGTTCTCAAATCCTGAAGCAGCTCTTAGGGTGTACACTAGAATGGTACAACTTTTAGGTCAAAATGCCCGGTGTGAATTACCCCAGGAATATTTAATGCTTTAGGTCCTTAACACCACTGAATAATGGTGATGATTCTGCAGTTAAATGTTGCCAGCGAAACCAGGAATTTAAAAGTCCAATCAACAGGATCCCCCTTTTACGAGGGATTTCTCATTAGATCTACTTAGGAATTCATTCCGTGGGGATTTGTTTGACCTTGCCACACCAACTGATAGTCAATTCAAATACCGGCTTGAAACCAAGTATTTTACCCAATTTCAAAATTCCGCCCACCATAAATGGATCACGTAAAATATAACCCACTTAAACCTAGCATTCTTATTTTACAACAGGAAATGGATTATTGAAATCCATTTCCATCTACTTTGTGTAGACACAAGTATCGAAGCTGGATAATGCGACCTTCAATGAGAGAACGCGTAGGAGTACTAACTATTCTCAAATTCACCGTAGCAAGACTGTCAATAAGTCACTACTGATGGGACTCAAGCCGTTAATTCTTCCACATTCGGAGAGACACCTATGTTACGATCATACGTAGTCAATGAATCACACGAACACTGGCACTTATGGTATAATTAATCAAAGGTATTCAGGTTGGTTTAAATTCCGCTCTCCCTCGGAACCAAAAATCTACGGATGCGTTTAAAGTGCATTACAGAGCTAGTGCTGCGATTCATAAACACCAACATGACATGAACAGATTCGACGTGGCTTCAACAATCGTGCAGGTGAACAGATAAACCATTTCTTATGTTAGTGTATGTGTTGGTGGACTTACTAGAAATGTTCACTTTTACCCTTTTGAAAACACAAACTAGTGTAAATGAGCCACATTTCGAGTAAACACTAACTTATGGATCATATGAAACCCAAGTGGAACATAACTCGGTAAACAGCCACATCCGCGATCCGAAGCCAGAATTAGGGTTACTCAACCGAACTATAGGGATAGATATTATGGTACATTATTTCAATCTAATTATTAATCTATATAGTGCTCAGCAGTCCTTAAGGGTGAAAGGCCAGGCAGCTGGAAAATCCCCATTAGGCGTTTACATAGGCCATTTATTAACTGGTAAGCGGTATAATTAACCAACCTGAGAATAGAGTTATGGGTAGTCAAACAGCTGGTTAATTCGGCTAGAAAGTTCAATATTCACTGATTGTCTTAAAATAACATTCCTATCCATACAATTAGCAATCCAAATTGGCCTTGTATGTATAGCAGCGAGCTCCAAGAGCATGACATTAGATGAACACAAAGCTATAACCACAGTAATACAACAAACTAAACGCCTTGAAGCGCAAAAACAATTGTGTTGGAGGCGAAAATTGTTCTGCATCAGTAGCCACCGTGCCCTTAAATATGGTGGCCGATAACCTTTCAGGCTGATTACAGACTCAATTGTCCTGACGTGACATTGTGCTTTCATGCCGCTGTAATAAACCGCCTCGAAATTTCAGTCAAATGGTACCACTAAGTAAAATCATGTACTCGACAAAAGCCAACAATGCTTAACAGTAACCTCACAACTTCATTCAAGTATCGATTTAATCATGGAATATAACAAAGAATTTGCATTGTACAAGAATTAAATGATTTAAAAAGCTGGATTAAATCAGAAGATATCACGAAAATCACGACGAGAGTTGTGAACGAATTCGCCCAACTTGATCAGCTGTAGCGCGATCAGTTTTGATTAGAAGACGCTGAATAAGATGAAGCATTGATTCAGATCGCTCGTGAATTGCCAGATCAATAGCCTCCTGACTTTGTCTACAATTCGAAAAGATGTGATCGTTTGTAATAAGCATCTTCAGAAGCACAGTACACAAATAAGAGAGTATTTAAGCAATTAGTGTTCATGTACTTTAGTCCTACCCTATCAAAATGAGGGACCGTATTCTTTGCTCCAAAGGTAATTTCTCAATTATGTCAGCCGCCTGTTGCAGACGTCCGGCGTCCACGTAAATCTTAACAAACACCTACAAAGCACAGCGATTACCCATATACTTAAAAGTTATCAGTAGGCTTAAATTTACATGCTTAATGCTTACGTCTAGCTGAATAAGAGGTCGCTTAGCGAAGGCCATTCGCTCGATTTCGGTCCAGGCGGCATCTGTGTTAGCAGAGAGCGCGAGTCCGATGAGACGCAAGTAAGCAACCCTCTTCTCGGGCATCTTGAAATCGCGCCGCAACTGGTCAGCCAGCCGCTCCGTGAGCTGGGACCCGGCGGCCACGAGACGAGTGTAGGTAGCGTTGACAGAGGCACCCTGCCACCGGAAGGCTGCCGCCTCAAGCACTCGTGGCAGCACGTGCGACCCGGGTGCGCGATCGTCCAAACAAAAGTACGGTGCAGTCACCTGCTGCTCCTCTAAGCGTCTGTGAAAGTTTATCAACTTGGCCGCCTCCTCGCAGGTCTGCAGGGCAGGAAAGGGCACGCAGCATTCGACAATATCAATAAGATTAACGGCTCTCCATTAGTTAAATGCACAGGTTATTTCATTAAATTTCACTCAATATCAATCACATATTGCATCGCCGCAATATAGTACGCTTAGATAAAGAGCATGCCTACATGCGAAAGAAAGTCGGCCTTTATTTGTTGGTAGGAATCTCTTGCCTTCAGTAGCAAGGAAGATCGATACACGGGATCCTAAAAGTCAAATACATAAGTTTATTAAGTTGAAGTCAACTGGACACAAAAGATGGATTACTGAAGGGCTACCGCACACACTGCCAGATGGAGGTGGTAGTTCTTACACGGGACAATGTAATTAGGCTGTGGCAATCTTTTGCAATAGCTTAATTGATAGAAGAATTCCTCTTTCAATTTTACCCTTTCCAACAGTTAAAGAGCACTATTTCAAAGTATATTATGGCCAGGTGAATTTGTTATCTCACTGTTCTACAATGATCAAAACGTATTAAAGATGGTTTAATGGAATTCAAAGATTGGAACTCAAGCATCACAATTAGATTCTTCAAGTTCACACTTTTACGACCAAATGGCGTAAAAAGGACAAGCAGCACACCCATTACTTAAGATATATGGTTTTGAATTCAACTCTATAAAGGTGAAAGTATCGAGCTTCACCTTGGACGAGAATGCTTCAAGAACAGTTCTTTGAATGGCCAGAGCAGGATCGTCCTCTTGTTGGAGAACAGCAAGGGTTTGTGAGGCGAGCTTGCCCCTAGGTTGACGCGGTACGATACTACCACCTACACCTGCACCCTCAAGGTACTGCCGGTAGAGAGCAAGGGCGATGGGATGTTGTCGCAGGAGGAGGCTCAGTGCAGTGGGCTCCATGCGCGCCTCGCCCTCCTGTAAGGGCTGGAGCACCCCCGCTAGCAGAAGATCCGCGTCACCTGATTGCACCGCACGGGTCAGTGCGTGGCCATAGCGGCGCAGACGCATCAGCAGCGCGATCTGCGCCGATATTCGAGGCTCCAGTTCCAACAGGCGCTCCGCCAGGGCCAACTGACCGCATTCAATCGCAGTCTCCGCTACCGCCGCAAATGACACGCCTCCACCGTCAGCACTCCTATCACTGCCGCCACAGCGATTGATTATCTCGAAGAGGCGACGTGTTAGCATGCTATTACTCGTATCAGAGGGGTTGGCCGACTGGGCTGGCAGACTTTTCACCCAATGGCGGAGGATTCGCGTCATGCCTGTCGTTCTTACCTATGGTAAGAGATCAACGCGGTTCCAAAATACGAATGTTCGCAATAAAATGAACAACATAGGCAGTTCCAATTTGAATTCAGATAGAGCATTCACACATGACCAGGGCAAGGATTTTCTACATGAAATCAACTGGAAATAATATCTCATCTGAACTGTGCATAATACCTGAACATATTCAGGAATTTTAGAGGGAAACTTTTGATAGACCCGGACAAGCTCAACAGCAAGAGGGTAGTGCTTTCTTGCAAGCAAGCGATTTAAAAGTGTCGAAGGACCAAGCAACTCAAATTGCTTCCAAGTGAGTGCCATTCCAATCCAGTCGACTGCAATGCTGTTCAACAGACGCAAGGTTGTAGTGATCTGAATTGTCAGCTCGGACCTAAAATGTAAATAAAAGCCCCACATCGGTGTTTGGAAAAAGCATTGTTCAAACTCACCAAAGCTAGAACTAAAAACGACATTTAAAGAGACCCACAGGTTGTCAAGCGTGCCGCAATCGAGGTCCTTAGCGCCGGAGCCAGGGGCTGCGAGAATGGAGAGGAAGCCACGGCCGAAGTGGGCGGCCGCGAGGAGAGTCCGCTGGACGTCCAAGGCGGAGGAGGGGGCACATTGAGCGGCGGATCGCAGGCAAGCGGAGACGGCATCATGCATACGGCCGGCGGAATGGATGGGGCGGAGGAATTCGTGGGCACGACCCGAGCCCGCCTCCCACTCACGATAAGCGGAGAGCAGGAGAACTGCCGGACTTGAGGCCCCGATACGACCTAGGCACTCCAGCTCCTGCGGCACCCGCTGGATTATTTCGTGAGTTGCCGGCGTCAGTACCCGCAGACCATCCACCTGCACGTGTCAACGAGAGGATATTTACTCAATCAGCGTGTCAACTCACCTAAATCTCCACATTTCCAAAGCAAAAGCCGACAGTAATTATCTTCCCAGAAGAGCCAATTGATAGGGCCCAAAGTGCGCACTACATTGAAGTGCAAGCATTTACTACTGATTTACTACATGCAACCCTAGTTCCATAATAATTTTGCTGAAAAATAGAGCATGTAAAATTTGGGTTTTCATGATAGTTTCCTAGAAATTTATACAAATTCGGTTAACTTATACTGCCTACCGGTAACGAGAACTCAATTAGGGAACATATACATACCACTAGGTAGTAGACGTTACTTTGCAACAACTGTACGGACCCATTTCAAAGCGTCGCCCAAAAGTTGGTCGATTTTGCAATGAAAAAGTAAATAAGAGCATAAAAATAAGAGAAATTTACTATCCCTTGTGTATTACAAACGGTATTTGAGACGACGATAATGGGAACAGCTGAGAGTTATTTGAATGGATAGACAATAGAAAGAAGCGGTTAACAAGCCAACTTTGATTACCAGAGTACCCCTACTGCTTTCATGGTACAAAAAATGAGGCGAAACTGCCAAAAAAATTCGTTTGCCTTTACTCTTGAATAATCAAGCGAGTAACTTCTCCTGGCTTTAGGTAAATAGCTTCTAGATAATGATACGTTTAGTGAGTGAATATGTAACCAACCGAAAAACTACGAGCAAGCAGTGATGAATACAGTCTTCCATAAGTTTGCAGTCCAATTAATGAAGAGGTCAACAATAGGACCTATGAATTAAATAAATTTGCGGAGAAGATATAAACCCACCACGTGATAAAGAAGTACATCTGACTCGCCTCAGGTTGGATATGTACAAAGGAGGGATAGAAGAGCTCGTAGACGTTTTTTTCCATATCGGCAATGACCAAAAAGTTTCGCCACTGTAGCGCAATGGTGGAGTTGTCGAACCAGGCCATGTCAGAGGGAAGGGTGGCAACGTGGCCGCCATTGCTACCACTACCCAACGCCGCGGCGCGATCCGAAAAATCGAGCTCCATGCAGACCTCAAAGGAGGGACCAAGGCTGGCGACACGTAGCAAACCGCTGTCCAGATAGAGCGCCACTCGCTCTTCGTCCGGTGAGATGGCCATCTTGTGGTAGGCTGAGAAACGATTCTGCCGACCCTGGCTCTGGATTTCAACCTGGTCACCAAAAAGAAAAGGCTAGGTTTCCAGCTACACTTGAGCTTTAGTTAAAATGACGGGATTTTGCAACATTACAAATAAAGCTTGATAATAATGACTCACCCAACCTTCACGCTTAAAATAATCGAACATTTAGAGACGAAATTGGTGTAAAAACCGACCCTCTTTTGAGCAATTTACTGATTAATTTTTCATTTGAATTATGTAACATAAGTAATAGGATTGTTTACTATAAAAGCATAAAATATGGATGAATTCAAATAGAAACATCAGATTCACATAGCAATATTGTCGGTGGAATAGGCTACAAACTAACTCAGTAAATATTAACCTTCTAAAGTGCAGAGTGAAAAGCAGATGGAGTGGTTTTAGTTATGAAACCGCCTTACCTTCATTGCTTTGCCCACACCCATACGGTGAATTTCCTTATCCACAGCCAAAAGAACCCACGGTCCCTTGAAAGCACCTATTTCGCCTGAGGTCGATGATGAGACTAGCTGCCAAACGAACGCCCTATTTGTCAGAGGTACTTCAGTGGATATGGCAAGGATGCGTGGTCGTTCTAAACTGGAGGCCACAAAGATCTGCGAGCTCCCAGTAATAACGGCTACTGCCGTTCGCTGTAAGTGAAGAGAATTACACAAATAGTCTAAACTTACTCCTTCAAAGGAAAAAAACTTGGCCTCGACTATCTGGGTATTTTCAGCTTCTTTACCAAAACCGAAGCGGCGTTTGAAAGTACCATTCAAGTTGAGCATGGTAACATAGCCAGACTTCTGCACTACTGCCAATTCTTCTGAATCCGACCATGTCACGGCGACAGGAGGTGCGTCCTTCCACTAAACATTCATTTTATTATAAATTATCAAACTCACTAAATTTTCAGCAAAAACTTTTCCAGCCGCAGTAGTAATAATAAGGACGGAATTGCCAGTTTGCTTGGGTTTTTGAAGGAAAGCAGTGAGACCACCGCAACCACCGACAGCAATGAAAAAGTCGTTGAAGTTTTGTGACTCGGTCAAATCAAGCTTGTAGAGAATGAGCCGCCTAGCACTTTCTTAATTTTGTACAATTAAACTTCTACCTATAATAATTTGGCCCAAGGGCGTACCAATCATCACTCAAGTGCTTCATTTGAATTAAAATCGCATTCCAACGGGAATCCTATAAAAGGAAAGCCAAAATGTGTAAAAATCTAGAAAACATTTTAGCTGTGTGAGCCGATCATCACAGACGTAGCGGTAAAGTATAAAAAGGTGCTGAAATAGGTGAGTCACGAAGTAAACAAGAAAGGATTTGTGAAAGCCCAAGGAAACGTATTAACTCTCGATAAAGTAGTGGCTAAGGGTACTGACAAAATTTAAAATCAAAAGCATAGATATGAAGGATTGAAATATGAAATATTAATGAAGAAGGAGTAGTGAACACACGACAGGTTTCTACATCAGCGACATTATTTTAATGCAAAAAGCCAGGCGAAATAGAACAAAACTCTGCAGCTCATTGACGACGGACCTACATGTCTAGTAGTGACATTTTTAAACTGCATCAACTTCCAATCACTTCAAAAAAATACGAAAAAGCCCCTAAAAACCTATGGAAAATACGGCCAATGTGCCTACGACAAAAGAGATGGACATAGCTAAGCATTGTAGGTCCAGAACTAAGTAGGCTAGTTTTCAAACAGCCAAATCTCAATTTTTAAATATGCTGACAAATATACATTAAGAAACAACTGCAGCAGCCTTGGAGTGCTGACAGCCAAGTGTGTTTCCCAACCTGACGGAGGCGTGCATTCTGAGGTTAACTTCGCCAATGAATTACACAGGCTACTTTGTCATAGTTGTTTTATGTCAATAAAATGCTGAAATTTATCTAACCGTATGTGCAAAAACGCTTATTACAGTTGCAAATGTGCAACAAATCTATACTCTTTGCGTGGAAAGCGCAAAACACAACTGTAGGGAAACGATATACTTGTTTAAAACTCTTGGTGCACGTATTAAGCACCGAAATATTATGAATAGATGTGTAATAGAGGTCTGTTGGAATATGTCTTCCAGCTACCAAACTATAAGCCATTGCTAGTCGCGTGATCAGGCAGTCACTACCGTCCCCTGCGTAGGGATGGGATTGCAGCTTCCTCCATGCATTGGCAACCTCTACATCCCACCATTCTTCCCGACTAAAAGATGGCCATCTCTACCTAATCCTTGGGCTCTAAGGGCACAAAACCTGAGGTAGAAGTAAAAAAGGCGAAAACAGGTTTTCCCCCATTCAGAACTGATGTTCACTTTTGGAAAGTGGCTCGAACATGCTAGGTTCAACCCTTAATTTTACCTTCAGCGTCAAAAAAATCTGGGTGCATCTCCCTAGCATCGCCTTATACTAAATTTTCGCGAAGGTATAAATAAACAAAGTAGTGTTCAGACCGAGGTAAGTTTGCCCAAATATTATGCAAGTGATTACGATGCAGTGTAATAAATCCTATATTTTTTGTATCCGTCCCCAGGCTTTTGAATTGAGAAGAATGATTAGGGGACATTTTACACCTGAGTAGTATGGGTAAGGCTCGCATTATTACCAGAGTTTGCAGGGAATCAGAATTCGTTTACCTCTTGGGGATCGGGAACTTAAGTTCCCGAAGAGGGTGGCGCAAGATGGTCGCTTGCTACCTAGGAAGCATATTCAAACAAACATGTATTAAATTACCCCACTAAGTCTTCTCTTAAAAAGTAATAAGTCAGGGCAGCATGGAAGAACATATGATGCTTGCATGCTGAAGAGAAGGCAGTAGAGTGGCTGCAATCTACTTTGGAGCAGCTAAACGTACAGTAACACAAATTGTCAAATCGTTATATCACAATGCCAGCCGGTCTAAGTCATTTTACACGGTAAACCCACCAAGTTTTAGGGGTCTTCGTCCCTTCCGCCCCGGACGACTTGAGGAACAGGGGCAAAAGTCGATTTCACCGCTCACACTATTGCAGCGCGTTAGCACTTCCATCCTTTTACCAAAACTCAAAACAAGAATGATGTAAAATGATTTACTAGGAAATGTATTCAACAATGTCGGGGAATCAGACAAAACAGGGATGACCTGGAAAGCGGTTTTTTGCCGTGCGGTTTCCGAGATGGTCCTGGAGACGCCTTACAAGGTGTAGCATTAAAGAGTTAATATTTTTAATTGGATTGCAATAGCTGTACGTAAATTTGTATTTACAGAAGAATATGCAACCTGATAGAGCAAAAAAAGACCACCGGTCACACAGAGCTTCACATCATTCCATTGTCGCCAAAAAACATAGTAGTTGAAGGTTTTGAAGTAGTACTCTGCTTAAATGCGGGGACTCCTACTCACTCCCGGGCTATAATTTCACCCAATAGCGTGGCCTTTCAGAAATGCCTTCTTTCAAAGTTCATAGCAGTTGGCATGGCTTACCGCGAACAAAGGGAAACACGGAACACCATGTTAGAAGGTTCTAAATCTCTTCTGCGGTATTTCTTGAATGTGCAGTGCAGCCTTTATCCAGGACACCGACTATAACACAGAGCAGATGACATCGCAGTCATCGATAACACTCTTGATTAAAGGATGAAAGAAGATACAGATTAATGCTATGCTAGGACTGGTGCTAAAGCATGAAAGACAATTATCACCCTTCGATGGCTGGGTCCCTCTCGAAGGTCGTGATCAGCCTTGTTGAGAACAACCACAGTAGCAGGGAACCGAACGTCATCCTGTTCTCTCGCGGCAGTTCAAGTCGCCGAAACAGCCATCCATCGCTGGAATATTTGAGACGGTATCCTGTACTTCTCGTGAGATAGTCTATTCAAAAGTAGGGATCACGCCTGGTCATATGCAAAAGCGCAATTGAGTTAGAAAGACTAGCAGTAATTTTTGTAACCTAACCCATCTAATCCTTTTGTATCAGGAGTACTCCAACTACTAAGGTCAACTTTTAGGTTGTGCACTCAAGGCATACCAAGCTGTCACTAATTCGTCAACTTATTTTCTGCCATCGCCAATGAATGGCGAAAGGGATACGTACGCTATAATGAAACCTACCTTCCAACTTTGGCAACAGAAACCAATATAGCAAACAGCAAGGAAATAGCAGTGAAAAAGTTCAGTAAGTTTTTTTGCGAAATATTCAATGATTGTGTATAAAACCGATACCAGACCCGGAACTAGGAACAAATTACAAAGCAGTCTTTTCAGTGATCACAATCTGAAGAAGGAAGGCGCTTTAGTGATAAGACAATTTCAATGCCAGGTGTATGCGGAAAGAGGTCTATGCAACTTGCCACCGTCGGAAAAAATGGTGCACCAACGTATTTCCTCGAGGGGGGACGAGCAAACCTATAAGGTAAATAAAGGTTCAAAACCAAGCCAGGCGAAATACAGGCCTTTCAGTGGTATTTTCACCATGAAATTTACAATTTCTTGAAACAACTACAGTTCTTCACCTTTTACAATATCACTAATCTGTGTAAGCCAAAGAATGTGCATAGTCAACTAAAAAACACACTTTCACGCTAATAAGAGGTCGGATTTATTATCTTACGCTATAGGCTATTGAGCTGTTGTAAAGATTTAAGAAAACTTTACAAAAAACGCATTACTGGATTCTCCTGTGATTAACCATTTGCATCAGACACGGAAAAAGGTGATGTCAAAGTTGCGGCTGCGTATTTTTGAACCGTACACAGAGAACTAGACTTTCAAAAGGAATACTAATGCAGGAAAATTGAAGCAATAAGTGTTGCGCACGTACGCCTCAAAATTGGCTACAGCCCTTGATAAGTCACAGGCCACAAATATCAAATGCTGAACACGCTCACAACGACGAATAGCCTCGATAACCCCAAGGTCTAAAAGAACACAAATAGTGTGCTCGACATCGTTAAGTGAGTATCAAACAAATACACCCTTCAAGGTAAGCAGAGATTAATTTAAAAAAAACAGACTACTACTTTTTTCACCGAATTTGTGACCTCCTTTGATTACATTAAAGATAAACGATAACAAGCAAGTACAAAGAAAATTGCGGGAGGAGTAAAGGAGTATTTTTGTTTTTTGCTTTAGGCAATACACAAGCATACCAAGTAAACCAAAGCTACGATTTCATAAAAGAAGTAAACGGAACGAGAAGAAATAAAAAAATGAGTAACTTTGTTTTAAGGACTTATCAATTCAATTTATGTTATAAGTTTATCTTAAAGACAGTCATTATAGTTTATTTCAATAATCAGAGGGTAAAATAAGTAGAAATAAGATTTTTCAGAACAAAGTTTAAGAAGATTAGTTTTTTGCGAATAATTTAGTAGAATTTGATAATGGTAATAAAAGGGTATTTTGACCAAGTAAACTCAGAATGGGATAAGGTACGTAAATAGAAAGTAGGGATCAAGGGTAGTAAAACTACTGAACCTTTTGAAATAAAAAGAAACCTAGGGTGACTTGTTTTTGTAGTGAAGGTTCTCCTGACAATCCTACTGCCTATCAATCGAAACCCTTGCAAGTGGCCAAATAATCGCGAGGTTATTTATACCCCATTGAAGTAGAAATCAGGACTGCCTCACGTAAAGTATTCGAGGATTACCGTACTTTTTGGCCCACTGTCGAAAAGGATAGAAAAATGTGCATCAAGAAGTATTTCTGACGTCTCTTGCGCATAGCAGTGACTTGGGATTTGCTGACCTTCCATTTCAAACAACGAATGACTTACTGACACCAGCCCTCGGCGGATCCAGAACAGCTATTATCTCTTTGTCTTCCGGTAGGTCTCGCATGAGATCCTTTAACACTAGTTCAGCCTTCCCAGCGTAGAATTGTGCATTTGTGATGTCTAAAAGGGTTGAAATCACTTAATTAAAAGCAGGACTTTAGAATTATGGCAACCGGACAAAACCAGTGGTTGATCAATGGGAAATCGTAATTGCTATAGCGTTGCAGATATACTGTAAACGCACCGTTTAGCTTCGCATTCATTTTTGCATTTTCGACAGCTGAAGGAATTAACTCGATTCCAATTACCTTTTCGAAGCACTAGAAATGAAAGGCAATCAGCTTGTATCACATTTTGGAGAAAAAGTGCAACCAAAATAATGCTATAATATGGGAGTCGCATGTTAAAAGTCAAATTGGTTACATACACCATGATAAATAGAAACCTATCAGTGACTATCAGAGCGCCAAACGTAAAGCCAAAAGTGGCAAAAATTACGGAGGAAGTACCAGCGTGGAAATATACACTCGTGCCACAGGGAAATATGTAATATGAAGTTTCACTCACGTCTGCCAGGCACAAACCGATAGTTCCGGTGCCGCAGCAGATATCCAGCAGGATGGCGCTGTGCACTGGCTTGTCCTCCCCCTTTAGGATGGCTTTGCAGCGCCTTCGCACTTCTTCATACAACTTCTCTGTAGCGAGGGTGTTTACTGAGGGAGAAAGCAAAAAGACTGTCCATTCAATGGCTACGCACCCACCGTCTACGATACAGGTTAATAGTACTACCTCTAATGAAGTCCTAATTGCAGAATGACGTCGAGTATTGGTAGCCGGCTATTAACCTAACATAAGGCTTATCCGTTATTCAATTCACAAAGTTAGTAGATCGTGCAAACAAAGTGTTTGGTAAAGTCTACAACAAGTGGAGCTGCAATGAAAGAGAATATAACGAAATACCTTGGAAAAATGCATCCTTTGCAATCACAAATTTAAGGCCACAGCACAGCTCCGTGATTGTCTAAAATGAAAGTGAACAATAGGTTAATAATGACCGAGAAAAAAGCAAATTAATAGTAGTGAGAGTGAAAACATACGTCTTTGCCAAACACACAACGCTCAGTGAGTGGGCCAATGAGTTGGGAATCACTGCAAAAAGAAGTACATTCAAGACACAAGAGCACAAAAAAATTTTGGTAAGTTTTGAGTAAAGCCACATCACCTCGGTGCAACAACTTTCCTTTTAAAAAGAATAGGTACGAAATATGGGGGAGTAATGCAAATTAATGGATAACAACCTACGACACACACACACACACAGTGTTCATAAGTATATAGCAAAACCAGGAGAGCGTTATAGGTGAAACAGGTCACCTCTGAGGGACGCTTAACCAAGAATAATGTCCATCTGTACTCGTAGCTTTTTTAAAAATAAGCCTAAGCAAAAAATACAACAAAAATTTCACTCACCCGGTAAGTACGACCAAGTGAAAAGAAGTAACGCCCACCGAGCCACCAGGCCCCCCTGGCTGGAACCACTGCTTCAGAATAAACTCCAGATCCGCAATATCCCCCTTCAAACAGATACGAAATGTATGCCAAAATGCATCCTATTTCTCGCCCTCTGCTCCACAACTATTGCCTAAGGCTATTCACTAGCCTAAAAGAATTTTCCGTTTGCAATTCCGCATCATTAGGTAATATCTTTGGTCCACAAAAGCGATTTGAGCCTGGTTTTTGGGGTAATAAGGGATTTGATCTTCGCAAAAATAAAAGCGGTCACTGATGGCCAAAAGGTATGCTATTTACTACTAATGACACAACAATTGCTGACCATCAAGACTAAATTCGGCTGTCAAACACACTTTTCATCTGTGAATAAGGAATAGTAAACAGAGGAAACGCTATGGGGTCGAAGAGATAATTTGGTTCTAGAATAGAAATTTAGCCACTGCAAAGGTAGATGACCCTTCGGACGTAGTCAAGATTGAAAAAGTGAGAGCATTAACTCACATCGATGAGATTGCCACGTTGGATTCGCACTTCCATAAGACAATCGCCAAGACGCGACTCTCGTACGGTGAAATCGCACCAGTTGCCAGTTTTGGTAACTGCGTCGTAGACACTTAGACGAGCGGCCACACGGTCGAACAGCACTGCGCTTTCCTTCTCGTGGGGCTGGTGGTAGATGGCGTCCAGGCAGGCCTGTAGACTAGCCACGGCTGCACGGGTTGTAGCTGAGAAGATTGGCGCGAGCGCAGGGTAAGCCACAGCTGTAGAGCCCTCTCTGTATTTGCCCAAACGTACTCCCACAACAGGACCTGGACGAGTGGGTGCAAGGTAGCGGAAGATTAAGTGTACCACTGTAAATTGGTGGAAGTTTTGATAGTTTGAAAGCTAGTAAACCACACCTCCAGTGGGGAAAAATTAAACCCCAAAAATTGATGCCGTTGAGCAGGCAATTATGAGCGATGCATTTGAATAATTTATTAATAATAATAATGCCGAAACAGTACACAACTGTTTTGTATCAAATCCTAGGCATGACCTAAAATTAAGTGGGAAGGCGGATGTACATCTAGTTTTGTTGACAAATAACACAAGATAACACTTGCCTTTTCCACTAGTATCTTCGCCGATTGTGAATTTGGCCTTATTTCGATAACCATTCAAAACAGGCTTTAAAATACACAAAGGTATGATTAGAGCAGCAGCAAAATCAAGCAGCGACGATGTGCAAATTAAACGGAGTGTTGCTACCCTTTCACGTCGGCCCATTCGAGTTTTTAAATATTTTTAGTCTTTTAATGAATGGTCTTGGAAAAACATTATTTACCGCCTTTGAATGCCAATTCTGCCCTTAACACGAATGTCAAATAGCCAGTACATAAATTTATTTTTGGTGGCTCCAGTTTACCACCTTTATTCACTTTATAGTGCCGAATATCCCCA